GATGGACCGTTTGGATGAATAGTCTCCATTTCAAAGTAAAACGCTTCCCGGCCAATGGTGTCAAATCGAGTGTTGACGCTGAGAATGTTCACGTTGAAGAGACTTAAATCTTTGACATCGTCGGGAAGAAAATATGAGTCGACGTTGTCAAAGTCGCCGAAAAGTGTGCCATCAAAGAGATTTGGATCGGGTATCTTTTTCTTTTCCTTTTCACAGTACTCTTCATAGCCTGCCGTAAAACTGAGTGACCGCTGACCGCAGATTAGCTTCAAGTAAACATCAGTATGAAAAAATTTGTGACAGTAAAACTCCAAAATTTCATTGGCGTACTCATACGCTTCGTAGAGAGATTTTGAATTTCTGAACTGCTGAATCTGATCGTAGTGACTGTTGACGGCTTTGGAAAAACTGGCCACAATAGACGGTTCAAAGGGAATATAGTCTTTGCTTTTCCTTATCAAGTACAGCTCATAAACATTCGCCAGTCGTTGATGAAGACTTTGAAGCTGATCATCGGTCAGGTCTGGGTTGATGATCTGGTTCATGAATTGATTCATATGAAGTACAAATTGAAGCACATTGAGAAAGTGTTCCTCTTTCGCAAATTGAGAAAAGAGAAACAGAAGGTGTTGATCTTCAAAAATCTGCTTCTTTTCAATTCCAAAGTGATCCGGAGCAAACTTGCGCTTTGTGTCTACNGTTGAGAAAGTGTTCCTCTTTCGCAAATTGAGAAAAGAGAAACAGAAGGTGTTGATCTTCAAAAATCTGCACCTTTTCAATTCCAAAGTGATGCGGAGCAAACTTGCGCTTTGTGTCTACAAGACCGCTTAAAAACTCCACATTTTTGTTGACAGAGTTTGCTAGATTTACAGGAGCATTTTCATTTTTGTCAAAAAGAAAAATTAAAAACGTGTTAATCTTGTCCGGATCAATNCTCCACAAAACCGCTTAAAAACTCCACCTTTTCGTTGACAGAGTTTGCTATATTTACAGGAGCTATTTCATTTTTATCAAAAAGAAAAATTAAAAACGTGTTAATCTTGTCCGGATCAATGAGAATNAACTCCACCTTTTTGTTGACAGAGTTTGCTAGATTTACAGGAGCATTTTCATTTTTGTCAAAAAGAAAAATTAAAAACGTGTTAATCTTGTCCGGATCAATGAGAATGTCAATCAAGGGTGTAAAGATGCACGAGCTTATGAATTCATTTAGAAAGGCATAGGACGCTTCACATTTGGTGAGCTTGCAAGGCAATGAGGTGTGTAGAAGTAGATTAGCTATAGACTTAAGGTATTTGGCCTCATTTGAGGAATTTACAACTGCAGGATGCAGCAAATGGCCGTATTCGCGGAGAACTGATTCCTCCAGAAAACGAGCCGACTTGGCNTGTCAATCAAGGGTGTAAAGATGCACGAGCTTATGAATTCATTTAGAAAGGCATAGGACGCTTCACATTTGGTGAGCTTGCAAGGCAATGAGGTGTGTAGAAGTAGATTAGCTATAGACTTAAGGTATTTGGCCTCATTTGAGGAATTTACAACTGCAGGATGCAGCAAATGGCCGTATTCGCGGAGAACTGATTCCTCCAGAAAACGAGCCGACTTGGCTTTCCGTTTTCCGTAAATGTACATCTCTAAGTGATGAGTGAGGTACTTAGGCAGCTTCTTAAAGATGATCTCATTCCACTGGAGTTGACCTTTGACGCGCAGCAGTAATGAGGAGGCGACCAAGCGAATGAGTCGTTTCAGTTCAAGGCGAATCTCCTCTGAGTTGTGTGATACGTCTGACAGCCATGGAGTGTGCTGTTCCAACAGAAAGTTGAACAATTCTTCCAATTCGGCATTGACCTTGGCATCCACCAGCAGATGCTTCCAAGGTTGCAGGTGCACGGCCAAACTAGGATCGTGTTTATCGCAGCTAAGCTCGTTGCACACCAAGCAAGTGGTCATTGAATCGTTAGCTGATTCCTGCCCTTTGCCTGGCTCGTCCATCAGGTTGCTGTAGGCATTACCCGGCAGAAGTAAGAACAGATTGGGAAAGTCGTGGCCATTGCCTGCTCGGCAATACCGTAAGCAGCTTTGGAAAAAGTGGAAAGCCGCCAGAATGACGAGGATGTACACGCCGACTGCCCAGTATCCAAGGACACATTGACTGATCTGGAAGAGAATGACGGCAAGGAAGAAGACAACAAAGAGCACATTGGAGCATCGCATTGTCGGCCGTAAGTGTAGAACATTGAAGCGCCTGGCGTTGTTCTGTGGACTGGTGGAGGCAGCGATGAGGCATGCTAATAAGCGGTCATTAGCGTTTGACAGCTGCAAATGGGCTTGATTGGCAGTTTCATCGCCCAGGACTCTAACTGACAGCTACAATTGGATTCAATTTGGATAACGGAGCAATCAGCTGGTGTGCAATCGACGACGAGGCAGTCAGAAAACGTCAACAGAGCGAGTGCAGCGGTGCCTGGTGACTCCCATTGCAATCGGTGTGCGCTGTCCACGGGAACAACTTTCAATTTCCCGTGCAAAATATCTTGGTCAATTCTACAGCTAAAACTATGATCAAAATACCAAAATGTAGTTATCGAATTGGGCATTGGGATAAGGTAGGCAGAATTTGATACGATGCAGTCAACTTTTTATGCGTGTAAATTGCGTCATTGATCCATCTTTCAATCGCAAACTAAAAGAAAAGAACGCCAAATGAATTTTTTTCATTAGACCTTTAATACACTTTGAAATCTAGTTCTAGCAACAGAATCGACCGTGAATATTCTTTTCCAGAAAATCTTATTCTTCAGAATGCATTAGTCTGCTTTTTGACAGTTTTGCCTGTACGTACTTTGCGGCCGTCGTCGACATACGTCTTCTACGTACGGCTGTGCAAAAAAAAATAGCTCCACGTTTCTGCTTTGTTTTCCGGCCTTCTGAAAAATTTTCGCCGCGATCGTTCTTTTGCCTAAGACTCGGACATCGTAAACATGGCCCCNTTGCAGGTGCACGGCCAAACTAGGATCGTGTTTATCGCAGCTAAGCTCGTTGCACACCAAGCAAGTGGTCATTGAATCGTTAGCTGATTCCTGCCCTTTGCCTGGCTCGTCCATCAGGTTGCTGTAGGCATTACCCGGCAGAAGTAAGAACAGATTGGGAAAGTCGTGGCCATTGCCTGCTCGGCAATACCGTAAGCAGCTTTGGAAAAAGTGGAAAGCCGCCAGAATGACGAGGATGTACACGCCGACTGCCCAGTATCCAAGGACACATTGACTGATCTGGAAGAGAATGACGGCAAGGAAGAAGACAACAAAGAGCACATTGGAGCATCGCATTGTCGGCCGTAAGTGTAGAACATTGAAGCGCCTGGCGTTGTTCTGTGGACTGGTGGAGGCAGCGATGAGGCATGCTAATAAGCGGTCATTAGCGTTTGACAGCTGCAAATGGGCTTGATTGGCAGTTTCATCGCCCAGGACTCTAACTGACAGCTACAATTGGATTCAATTTGGATAACGGAGCAATCAGCTGGTGTGCAATCGACGACGAGGCAGTCAGAAAACGTCAACAGAGCGAGTGCAGCGGTGCCTGGTGACTCCCATTGCAATCGGTGTGCGCTGTCCACGGGAACAACTTTCAATTTCCCGTGCAAAATATCTTGGTCAATTCTACAGCTAAAACTATGATCAAAATACCAAAATGTAGTTATCAAATTGGGTACTATGATAAGTTGGGCAGAATTTGATACGATGCAGTCAACTTTTTATACGTGTAAATTGCGTCATTGATTCAACTTTCAATATAGCAAACTAAAATACAAGAACACCAAATGAAATTCTCTTTCTTTTTACCTTTGGGGATGAAACACACCTTGAAATCTAGTTCTAGCAACAGAATCGACCGTGAATATTCTTTTCCAGAAAATCTTATTCTTCAGAATGCCTTAGTCTGCTTTTTGAGTCAATTTTGAGTGCGATTCGCACTTTTGCTGCAAATTTTTTGCCAACTTGTAACGTCTTCTACGAACTCCCCCGGCGGCTAGCCACAACGACACACGCTGCCGCTCAATATCCCTTTTCCGTCGACCATCTCAGCGCCGCGATCGTTCTTTTGCCTAAGACTCGGACATCGTAAACATGGCCCCGTCACTACTGGTCGCCGAGCAGGTACGCCATTCTGGTCTAGAGAAGCCTTCCACTTGATCAAGCTCACTGGCTAACCCACTGAATTTTCTTTTCTTCACTAGAACGAGCGTGCTTTCCAAAAGCAGCCGACTGTCTTCCTCAACAAGAAGCCTCCGGCAGGTCTTGGATCGAAGTACCGCAAGGTTACTCGATACGTCCGCAAGGTTGGCCTGGGATTCCGCACCCCCAAGGAGGTATGTTAAGGAGTTCACTTATTCAGTTAACCAACGCTAACGTCTTTGTTTATCGTGTAAAATTCAGGCCACCGAGGGCAATTACATCGACAAGAAGTGCCCATTCACCGGCAATGTGGCCATCCGAGGGCGCATTCTTCGAGGCGTCGTTGTCAAAAACAAGATGCAGCGAACCATTGTCATCCGCCGTGACTACCTTCACTACATCCGAAAGTACAACCGTTTCGAGAAGCGCCACAAGAACATGTCTGTCCACCTGTCCCCGTGCTTTAGGTAAGTTCGACTAGCTTTCAGTTGTCACTTTTAGTACTTTAGTTGGCAGTTGAGATACAGCTACAGTTCGTAGCTGGTTAGACTTAATGATGAAAATTACACGACGGTCTTCCGAAAACGTTAAATATGAGGAATGTTCGTTTTATTCTGATTCTTTTCCCCTTTACTCAACTGTGCAACATTAGTTTAAATCCATCATTTTTTCCAACTTTTTTCCTTTTCTCAACACTAATCATTTCCCTTTTTGTACTTGCAGAGATGTTGCTCTTGGAGATGTCGTGACTGTTGGCGAGTGCAGACCCCTCAGCAAGACCGTCCGCTTCAACGTCTTGAAGGTGACCAAGTCTGCAAGCTCTAAGAAGCAATTTAACAAGTTCTAATGTAATGTAACATCTTTTTAAAATAATAAATCTCCATAAAAAACGAATACGCTATATAACCTCTGCTTTAGTAAACAAAATATTAATGCTTTAGTCACAGTCAGTTTTTAACGATAAAAACTTGAAGCAATTAATGCATGGTTCAGTAAATTCAAGCACCCAACAAGGCAGATTAATTAAATTGAGAGCCAGCTATTTTTACGTAGAATGCTTTCGCGAGAAATCACCGCAATTACTGAGGACTGCTCATTAGCAAATAGTTCCGATCAGATTTTCACACCCACGCAGCCTCTCTAATCATTGGCTTTCATCTCTCAGCTGAACTGCCAGTGACTGCCAGTGTCAACAGTGTAGAACTTGTAGTGCAGCTGTTGGCTGGTGGCTCTCCGTCTGGGGGAACGGACTGGTCTAGCGGTAACCACAACCAGTGCCATCGAGGGAGGGCAGGGAGAGGATGGTGTCTACGTAGAATGGCAGTTAGGGTGCCAAAGTGTTCAAGACGGCAGGAAAGGGGACCATCTGCCAACGCATCGGTAATTTGGAGCGAGGGTGCCACAGTGGATGGGCTCCACCGGACGTGCTACGCTGCTTCAGCTGAAGCGAGCTACACTGTAGCTACGATGGCATGTCTGTCTGTCTGTGAAATGTCAAAGTTTGCCTAGTGGAAGAGAGAGGAAGGCAGTGAGAGCTGGCGCCCGCCCGGCAGCTCATAGCGGCATACCGAGCGAGAGCATCAGTGGGAGCAGGACACTGTGTTTAGAAGTGTAACTGTTGTGGAGTGTACTGTTGCGGATGCAGCTGTAAGCAGTGCTCCTGCTCCTGCTCGAGCAGTTGCAGTAGCAGCTAGCGGCGGCGGTAGAGGATAGAGAGGATACACTGGCGACTCAAGGCGGTGGCAACACTGCTGCTGGAAGCAAGGCAGAAGCAGCGGCAACGTCGGCAACGACAGCGACAGCAGCAGCAGAAGCGACAAGAACAGCAACAGCAACGGAGTGCAAAAGCGAGTCCGCGAAAGCCTCGACACACAGCAGCAGCAGCTAAAGCCTGAACTCGGCGACGTGGCAGAGTGGCTGTGCTCATCTAAGCTGTGAGGTTCGCCTCTACTTCACTGTCACCAGCTGTAATGAAATAATTATAGCTGACCAGTATCATGTCGCCAAACTGATCATTGCCACGGCTGAAGAATTAGAATAGAACTCTATTTGATGACTGCATCTTTCCGTTATTCCGTTGCACTTTACTCGCTGCACAACTCATTTAGAAGCTGACGATCAACACCACTGCGACTGCTGCTTCCACCGCTGCTACTGCTGCTGCTGCCGATGACAGCTGCCAGTGCAACAGCTGTTTACCTAATTCTGACACCTCGCCACTTCGAAGACTGGCCTTAATTAGCATATCGCCTGTTTGGCCAGGCGCGACCAGTCCTCTTCTCTGACCACCGTGCGGTGGTGATGATCGTCATCACCGTCATGGCACCTGTGCCCTCTTCCAAGGCATTGTGATTGCCGCAGAGTGAGCACACACAGTGGGATCACAATCAGCACAGCACTCGTCTCAGTTCACAGTACAACTCCGCCGTCGTTGCCAATGAAGCATCCACTTGGTTATTATTATTTATTGATCCTCCTCTAACTCCTCGACTATCAACTGGCACCAGACCATGCTGAGCTCGTCCACCCCGGCACCACCGATGGTGTCCGGACCACCGCACTTTGTTGATCTGCACGTCAATCCAGGCAAGTGAGAGGGAGAAAGAGAGGGAGAGAGAAGGGCCACGTATGACGCGTTCGCGCGACATTCCATACACCGCTCATTCTCCCATGGACACACTAGAGTGTGCCACTTCATAGAGAGTAGTCAGCTGAGATGGCGTATCATTTCTGTTTACAGGCGAGTCCGTGTCCATACAGTTCTTCGATGGCAATGAAACCATTCTCCGCGGTCCGACGACCATCAAAATGATCAGCAATTCAACATTTCCCCCGCAGCCATTGCCCGTACAGGTAGGTACCACTCTTTCGGAGTGTGACTCACAAACCACCGTGTCTTCTATTTGGCACACGAATTCACCACCCTTCCAATCCTCCTCCTCCTCAGGTGCCACCGGGTCATATGATCCAGCAAATTGTCGACGAGAATGGAATTCTCAGGCATATCATTTTGTCGGCGCTACAGCTGAATGCAAACGGAACCACCGCCAGCTGTAACGGATTCTCCGGCCACTCGAACACCTTTCCACCGCCACCTTCAACGCACCCCCAGCAGACGCATCAGCACCAGCACCAGACATCGAACGGCCTCTACAACTGCTGTTGCTGCTACCCCAGCTGCAGTCCCAGTCCGAACAGTCAGCCTAGTGCCCTCTCTCCGGTCAGCCTGCCCTCGCCGGTCTCTGCACTGGCACCACTCGCCGGCCACAGTCCTGCGGCAGCGGCTGCTGCGGCGGCGGCTGCGGCTGCTGCTGCTGCCGCCGCGGCCAGCGTCTCATCGGTTCCCTATGCGTCACTGGGCAACAACTCCTACGCTCGCAATCGGCGAGCAGCAGGCAATCGTCCCTTCTCCTCGCCGAACAGCAAGCGCCCATCGAGCAGCTTCAGTAATGGCCCTAATGGCACTTACGGCGCTCACGCGGCAGGTGTCGGCGGCGGAAGCGGAGGCGGAAGCTTGAAGATGAACAACAGCATCAGCAACAACATCGCCGCTTCTGGCCGTAGTTACGGGCACAATAACATCAGCAGCAACAAGACGGTGGACAATCCCAAGGGCAATCACTATGGGCGGCAATCTACGAACAGCAACACCAGCACATCCACTAGCCTTCACTACGACGCCACCAGACCACACTCAGACTCGGTGCCGTTTGAGGGCGGCGCCAAATACTTTCTCAACAAAAGTTACGACTACTCGTGCAATTCCTCGAACGCCTCCCAGGCTTCGATCACCACTGACCAAATTAGCGATCACCTAAAGTATTACAAGGAGGACACTGCCCATTACTACCGAGAGGGCGGGGACGGCTTCACCTCAAAGAAGGCGCCCCCCTCCTTCCACATCGGCAAGGGCATCCTCACCAAAGAGTTTTTCAGTAACCACCGGCCAAATGTTACTCCCAGTGAGCACGACCAGGACCACTCTTCGCACCACCGATCTTCGCAGCTTCACAACTCGTCGTCTCTCGGCAACAGTCTCGAGTTGAACATTCCTAGTAGTACTGCTGCAGAGGCTAAGGTGCCACCGGCGACTGCTCGCACTGATCTCGCCAATCACAGTGCAGGTGGTGGTGTCCACGAAGGTGGTGCGAGTCTGCTGTCCTCTGCCAGCGGTGACCCACAGTACCGCCACCGAAATCAGCTGCAGCACTCACAGCAGAGCAGAGCAGTGCCCACTGGGCGCAACGCAACGTCCGGCGTCGTCGTCGAGAACGCCGCCACCAGTACAAAGCCAAAGACAACTGTGGAGAGTAGTACGGCAGCAGCTGCTGAATCGGCTGCTAATTTCAGTGAGAACTATTCCAAGTCGTTAAACAAAGTTATCTCCTTGAGCAGCACTCGAAACAGTCGAACCAAAGTTATCTCTGCCAGCAAGGTGGCAGTGTCGCCTGCGAAGAAGAAGCCTGCACCTCCACTGATCACTTCCGCGGAGAGCAAAAGGTCGGCTCCTTCCTCTGCAGAGGTGTCACCGTCTCCTCCACCAAAGCAACAACAGCAACCACCACAACCACCACCGCAACAGCAGCAATCACCGAAGCAACAACAGCAACAACCCCAACCGCTGCCCCTACCAAGCATCAATATACCAGTGATCATTTCCGAACCACCGACAGACGATGATTTGTCACCGACCAGTCGACCCGAACAAGTACAAAACAAATCAAGCTGTGATGAAGATGCGGCTGAAAATGAGATGGCCACCGGTGCCAGTGAACAGCAACAGCAGCAGCAGCTCGAGGCAGTAAAGACGACGAGGGAGGTCGCCGAGAGTGAGTCAGTTAAGCCGCCACTGGCTAATGGCATTCTGGGAGCCACTGCACTTTCTCTTTCCACTGAGAAGCAGACTCAACCGCTTTCCAACTACACAGTCAGGCCTGATGACAGTGACAAGAGTGACTCTGATCCGTATGTCGAGGCAACGGGAGGTGAAGATGATGATGAAGATGAAGATGAGGATGAGGAGAAAAGCAACAGCAGGTTCGGGCGAGTGGAGACGACAGGACAGCAACCTTCACCTCGGCACTTGCTGCCCAAAGTGGAGACGATCGCACTGAGCAGCAGTTCACTCTCCTCACACTCGGTCCGTCTGAAGTGGTCATTCCCCGGACAGACAGACCGAGCCTCAGATGCCAATAGTGACTGCAGCGGTGTGGCCGCAGCAACGTCGGAGCAGAAGAAGCCTCACTTCATCGTGGACATGCTGCGTGGCAATGTGGAGGACAGTCCTAGCTCTCGCATCGTCTACCAGGGACCGTACTTGACCTGTCGGGTGGCAAACCTGTCGCCGCAGAGCAAGTACACCTTCCGGGTGCGCAGCAACACTGACAGTGCAGTGCTCATCAGCAATCTACTGACGGTGGTCACTGAGCAGCTCTCTTCGGGCGGACTGAGGCGAAGGACGAAGGGACAGCAACAGCAGCAGGGACAGCAGACGCAGCCTGGCGGTCACCACCAGGGACAGCATCAGCTGAACGGGGCCAGTGCCGCTGCCGGTGCAGGCAACCACCACCACCACCACCACCACCAACAGCCGGTGCTCTCTGCAGACGGCAAATCAGCTGGTCCGAGCGCCAGTGAGGTGCTGATGCGAGCTCGTCTTTCGCAGGACCAGCGCTGTGCCATTCTCCTCCTCGCCGTCTTCACCTTCACCGCACTGATCATTGCCGTGCTAGTGCAGCACTGTCTCGGTGCTTCAGTGAACTGACTGAGTCTGTGCTACCCCAGCTACAGAGAGGACATTCTCTTTGCACCTCAGCACTCTCTCTCTCTCTCTCCTTCTCCCCACAGACGAACAAATCACCCATGACCACTGTTAACTATGACGAACAAGTTGCTATTTTGTGAATCTTACCTTTTTTTGTTAAGCGCACTTTTCTTCACTTCTATTTTGCTATTTTGTTGATTGCTTTCCAATGATTTATATATAATACGGACTTTATTTTCATTCATAGTTTTAACTTTTTTTGTATGCATTCTCAAAGTCTATAAACAAAATGTGTCACTATCACGGCAGGCACACACAAAGTGGTCTCTACTAGGCAACTGGGCAACAGCTATGCGTCGTAGGGCACTGCTCCACTGCGAATGATCTCAATGTCGATGAGGTAACAGAAGTGCATGTGCAGACCGCCCAGAAGCACCAGACAGTGCATTAGGTTGTGACTGTTGAGCGCTAGGTCAAAGGCACCGGGAGAGAAACGCTCGGGAATGCGAGCCGCAGAGATGAACGCCCCCAGGATGGGCAGCACCTCTTGGTTGAGGACGTGGGCGAGGTGCCAGCTGTGGACGACCACCTGCCGGGTGCTCAGACGGGCCACCAGGGCCAGGGCGCGCATGATGACGAGCGGGGCAAAGGAGAGCGCCCGCTGCCAGGCACTGCCAGCCGTCAGACCGCGGTGCAGTGCCCAGCAGGCAGTGGCCAGGTACAGCAGGAGAAAGGCACGTCGAAACGGGTCGCCGAAGGTGAGGAAGCTGACGGTGAGGGTGGTGAGGGCGCCGAAGGTCTGCGTGATCCAAATGCCGGCCATGTCGGCCTGCAGCAGACGCCGGTACAACTCCGGGCCGGCCTTGTGGTTCATGAAGACATGGTAGAGGAAGGAGCCCAGCCAGGGACTAAGGCAGCTGATCAGGTGACAGTACGGCAGGTAGGAAGGCAGGCGGTCTTCAGCTGGGGGCAGCAGCTGGTCGCCATTCAGCAGGACGTAGAGAATGGGCAGACCGTGGCTCACGATATTGAATGTCTCATTGTGCAGGGAGCAGATTGACTTGATGCACTGCAGGGTGGACTGATTGGCAGGGCGGTAGGCGGTGAGAATCCACGGGTTGAAGCGAAGATGATCGGGCATCTCCTCTAGCTTCCTCTGGTCACTGCTCTTCTCCTTCTCCCTCTCCCTCACCGAGACGGGAGCACAGGGCAAGAAGTACTGCAGCAGCAGATACTTCCAGGCGCTGCATTGCTGCAGCCACCTAGCCAGCCTAATTGCCGAAAAGAGAAAGGCCATAGGGGCGCAATGCACTGAAGGAAGGGAGAGAAGAGAGGGAAAAGACAGTGTAAAAGGCCGCCGAGAGTTGAGGAAGAAGGGGGAAAGGGAAGAGAGCTGTGAATACATCGGCGGTAATGAGGACTACCGCCGATGTACTGCCTTTGGCAGGCGAACAGCAGCAGGCACACACATTAGCAGGCAAATCACTTCGGTCAACAGTGGCCGCATGCGTCAGAAGTGGACGACTGGAATGACGTGGGCAGGACGCCGACCACGGCCACTCCGAGCGTCGTTCAGCCAAGGTTGCGGGCCATGCGCACCGGCGACGGCAGTCACCGAAGAGACAGACACTTCAGCCACGCGTACACACTGCCAAATGCCAAGTGGCCGCTGGAATAGCAGCACCTCAAGTGCCGGTTCGTGTGTACGAGCATGCATTTTTATTCATAGTATAGTTTGGGTGGTCGGCCTAATATTGCCATCGTGCATAGACAAGATCAGAAATGTTGTAACGGTAAAAAGTTATACAATGGTAGTACAACAGTCATTCAGTCAGTCCCGAAATCAGTCCGGACAGAAACAAGTGTACGAAGATAGAAGCTATGTACAAAATGATGTGAAGAGAAAGATAAAATTCAGCATCACTCCACATGCAAAGTCAGAAGAGTTCCCAAATAGTATTTAAGCTAAAAATAATTGGTGAGAGAGTATGATGAATCAATGAGACGAGACCACTCGAAAGATAGTTTTGATGATCGGCAAAAGCGACTCACATGCCCAGCGTTAAACATTACATCAAAATGCCATTGAGGGGATTGTGAACAACACTCTGGACGCTGTCGATAAACTTCATTTGAACACGTTTTGGTAATTCTTCTTGGTCTTTAAGATACACGTCCTCGCGTCGAAAAGCCAATTGAACGTCATTATCAAAGACACAGGTGTACATCTTGCAGATGTGATTGCCTGCATACTTGCCATGCAGCTGCTCTTGGTTCAGTAGCACCTCAACCACATCGCCGATTTGGGGCATATCATGTTCGACGTTGCGATTCTAAAAAAAGTGGTCATAAGCGAAATTGCAGCGTACTAAAGATAGCAGAAACTGATGACTCACCAGTATTTGGTTTCCCTTGATGTTGTCTACTAGAGTATTATCGGCGACAAATTCCACCTTGTGAAACTGCTCTTCATTTATGCTGACTACTCTCGCATAGGAGTAGTATGCATGGTATTTGGCTATCACCTCGGCTCCAATGTCCACTTCGCAAAAGCTTCGAAATTTATTTCGGTTGTTGATACTTTTGATCTTGCACTTTTTGCAGAGAATTTTCAACGAGGTTGATTCGTTGCTTGCCTCAAAGCTGACGCCTTCTCGGTGACCACATGTCACGTGGAAGCTATCGCTGCAGAGGGAGCAGCGTATTGAGTAGCCATTAATGTAGTTGGAGAGATCACTGGAGTTTGTTTTCTGATGGCAGAATTTACACGACTGCAAATAAATAATTGATGCAGGCATTAGAAAGGGGATAGGGAAACCATTGAACAAACGCATTTACCATTTCATTGCTCGTTCGTCCTTGAACGTCAATGTGAGTCATGTTGGGAAAGACGTCAAATTTCGCGTTTGGCAAAACCAGCGAGCATGAAATGTGAGCCCACTTCTCATCGTTAGGTATTGCTGACGAGGCGGAAGATTGGCTTGGCGTGAATACGACCTTCTTCAGAGGGCCTCCGCGCACTGGGCAGAGACAACAGGCAGCCTGATAGCCCGACCTATCACAGCACCTATCACACTGCCAAGTATCGTCAATGTCCAGGCTGTTTGAGACTCCGTAGCATACTGCAAAGCACAAAAGCGTTAAATTAAAAAACAAAATTATATACTCTTATCAAACCTAGCTTACCTGAATGAACACAAATTTTGCAAACTGAGCAAACCAGCAGTGTGGATTGATTCCACGAGTGATCATCCCCGTAATCGATGACTTCTTTTGACTTGGAGATGTAATTAGTTTTTGGCATTAAAACTCGACTGGTTGATGGTGGTTTCCACTCAGTGGCAAATGCCTCATTGATTTTCTCCTTTTGCGCAAATGGCTTCAGCATCAAGCAGATTAAGCAGTGTGGTTCAATCAAAGAAGAAAAAAAGTTGAATTTTGTCTCATCGGTAAACGGTTCTGGACTTTTGGCGTATTGCAAGGTGCGACCCGATAGTTCGTAAAGATTTTCATATCCAATATGCTGTAATCGTATTAGTTATCAATTAAACGTTAACAAGTCTTATAAAGTCACCTTTGGTAACGATGCACCACAAATTAGATTCAGAGGGAGAGAATAACTTTGTAAAACTCCTAATAAACAAAATAAAATTATTTAAAAAAATATATAAAATCAAACCAACCAAAAGTAAAACATACCATTTGAAAGTTGTGCAGTTTTATCATTTGTACTATTCGAATGACCATTGTGTCCATTGACTGATGAGGAAGACCATCCGTTGGCAGTCGAGCTTGATGATTTTGACTTGGTTTTCTTCAACTTTGTAGGTGATCCATTAAGTTGACCATTTTGAATGAATTCATCGACACATTCAATACTTTCGTTTGTATGCTGTCGTTTGGGACCTTTCTTTGTCTTTTTGGCGATAAAATCCGGCAGTTCCTCAGGAAAATCTTCTTCAACCTCTTTAACTTCATCTACTGGAGTTGGCGCATAAGACAAATTTCCGAAAGGGTCTTTCGGATCAACCCCAATATCTTGACCGAGTAGCCAGCTTTGAAAACGCTCTGGTTGAAATTTTTCCACAAAAGCGTTCATTCGGATCTTCACGGTATCTTTGTGACAAAAACACTAAAATTCGTTTGGTTATTACAAAATAATAAAAATCAATTCATGTAAACTAACCATTGTTGAACGTTTTCCGTACTCTATCCAGCGCTGCAAAGCAAAGTTTGTTGATTCAGCAATGTTAAATCCAAGATTGTAGCCAGCATGGTAAGCATAAGGAAATGTGATCATGAACTCATTCGCTTCTTGTGTGATCTTATTAAATGGAATATTGTGCTTCCTCAAAATAGAAGGAGCAATGATTGACATTTTATGCCTTATGAAAGCTTCGCATTTTTTGTGTTGTTCTTTAAAAGTATCTAAAAATAACGCAATTAGTAAGGAACATTATGCCGTTTAAAATATATTACTTTTTAACAGGGCCTCCATCCTATGGCCATATTTAGGGGGCACGCAATACCAGGATTTCGGTTCGCCGGTGTGTAAGTAGTTAATACTGTAGAGATCCATGTCTTCGGTGTGCCAGGCAAAGCTTGACTTCCACATGCCGAAGTAGAGGTAGGCAGTGTTGACTCCCATAATTTGGATGTTGTAACTATCGTTTATCAAATCCAAGATAGTCCCGAGTCTATTTATATTGAAGTAGTCACAATCCTCATCGGTAATCGAGCCAGGAACATCTGCTCCGTAAATCGGTGGGTTGTATGTGATGTTTTTCCAGTATTTCCTCTCAAGGTCCTCGTAATCAAAGTATTCTGGTGTCGCGTGCTCGGGGGAATTTGCTTTGTTGCGAAACTCTCTTACAGTCATGGTCTTTTTCTGAATGTTGTACTGTTGGTAACAGCCATGGTTTCCTTGCACAACTTGCTGAATTGGTGAGACGATTTGAAAGTAGTCGAGATTATTATAGCCAGATTTTCTCGGGCAGTACTCTGGTGGTGGTATAATCTAAAACAATGTGTTAGTAAAGGAGTAAAACTTTCAACAACAAAGAATATTTTTACTTTTGCCAGACCGGCCTCGTGAGCACCTAAAGATTCTATCTTTTCAATGTACTTGGAGAAGTCCTTCATTTCGTCGAGCGTAGGCCGAAAGACCATAATTCTGGGAACCTCTTCGTAAGCACTCATCTTTGGAAGGAAGGTCCTAGCTAACGCCTGTTTGGCAAAAGCTGGCGCAGACGGCCAAGAGATTGGCCGTCTGAAATATCTCAACAGGAAGCACGATGGAGTTCGGAATGACCGGGTTTAATATCTTCTAACAGTTTCAAACGTAAATACACTGCCAAACAGAAGACAGAATTGTTTTGCCCAAAATAATCTGCATCTTGCTCGGTAAGGGCTTTTCGGAGACAAAATGACAGGATAGTCACGTAAGAACGGAAGAGCACGTGATGCTGGCAGAGGATTGTGGGCGGGCCCTTCTTAGTGTAACTAGGCTTGCAGACAGGCAAAGTGAAAACTATGCAAATCCCGCCTTGTGCTAACAAAACACATCAGAAGCACAGCCAAAAATATTATGTCAGAGCTAAAACACACTATTCCAACAGACGGCGCAAGTCTCTGGTGAGCAGAGTGGCGTTTCATTGATGCATTTGATCTAACCAACAAATCAACATCAACGATGAAGCTCTTCTTGGTCCTCGGTCTTTTCCTTATTTTAAAAGGGGCGGAATCAGCCCAATCGGTCAAACCATCGTTCTACGCCCATACCGACCCTACCGACAAAAAGGCCTGTCTTCTGGTAGCCTCCAAAGCCCCAGTTACCGTGACGCTAGTCAACAAGGACACAAAAACCAACGTTCCTAAGAAGTCAGAGATCAACATTAAGAACGTTGCCGTCACTTGCGATAAGGGAGTAGCGACAAAACTTACCTTGCCTAAAACTGATGGCCTCGAACTCGCCTTCAAGTTCACGGATTACAAATCAAAATGGACAATGGAGCCAGAGGCAACAATCGGCACTGAGGAATATGTCACAAAAAATCAGGTGATCAGTGTTTCAAAATCTTTCTCGTTCAGTTGCCAAAAGTATGAGATTAAACTCGTACCGAAGAAGGAGAAATCAGGTATGTTCAATTATGTCCGCTTAATAGATCAATTTTGACATTTGTTTGCTGCCACACAGGGCAATACGAGTCTGTTCATGTCACGTTGGAGGGCTTCCAAGTGCAACCTTTTCACAACGGGACAAAGATGCGCTTCCTTGACAGCGATGACTGCGCCGTATGGTTCACCTTGCCCATCTGGTCTAGTCTTATTGTCACCCTCCTTCTGGTTACCATTCTCTACTTTGGCATCATTGCTCTGATGTCTATCAGCACTCCAGACCGATTTGAGAACCCGAAGGGCAGGACGTTGATCATCACCAACTTCGATGAGTAAAAGTCATTCAGTGGGAAGAAGTGAGCTCACCTTCTCATCAACATAGTCTGGCCAGCACTGGCAAATACCTCTGTAAAATGTACATACTCTTCCGTGATAGTCAAGCTCCATATTTACAATTTTTCTCTCCCTTCACGTGACCAATGTTCACGCACCTCCCAAAATGGAGTGTGCACTGTTACTGTCTGTTTGTTTGTAATTATTTATTCCAACCTGCTTAATCAAGGAGCCCATCGGCTCGTTTGCTGTTTCATTCCTTATTGCAAATAGATATCAAACAATAATAAATCAAAGCTAATTGCGCATTGCTCTCGTGAGATGCTCTCTCTCTCCTGCTATTGCCTCATCAGGCCTTGATTGACTGTCTTCACGCACTGGATCGGAAGAGAGCGTGAAAGAGGGACCCCCTTCCTCCTCAGACGACGTTTCACTCGTCTCACCGACCACCGCCTTCGCAGACAGTGCAGACGGGCGTAGGCGCAGACAGTGCGGCGGCGGCGACGGCGGCGTCAGCATCATCATCTGAAATAGTGTCTTTCAATCGAAGTGAAGTGGCCACTGCTTTCAGTGGATGTTCGAGCTGGCTGCCGTCGTCGTCGTTGGTGGCAGTGAACAGTGAACAGTAGCAGCAGCAGCCGTAACGGTCGAGTCTACCACCTAGGCAAGTAGTCGGACAACGGCGCACTGAAGCAGGGAAGGCGGGCACTGCGCCGAGAGTGCCAGTTGGATTCGCAGACTGGCTGCAGAGCTGATGCTCAGTGCGCTGGCTACATGGCAACAGCACCAGCACCTCGATGACCACTATCACCACCGCCGCCACCGCCACCACCTGCATCACAATCACGGCAACCTCGGCAATGCTCCAGCAGCATGAATCAACACGTGCAAAACGTCGACTTCGTCAAGGAGCGGTCCTTGCACTTCTGCGAACTCCTTCGAGGTAAATTGTCGTTGTTGTTGTTGTTGTTGTTTGAAGGCTACTTTACACGTGACCCCTTTTCCACTTCAGATCAACTGTACTTTGCCACCCTATCTGATGTCAACTTGAAGAGTTTTGTCAAGAAATCTCATCCTCATGTCCACTTTCTTTTCGTCGATAATGACTTTGTCTACCAAGCGTACGTTTGTGTTCTACTGTCAACAACAACTTTTGACGTTTGTTTGTTTACATTGTAGCTTCAACCAGGATTTCGGTCCCCTTAATCTTGGTATGCTGTACCTCTACTGTAAAAAAGTCAACACTATATTCAAGGTATGATAGCGTCTTTTTGAAGTTCTCAAGACACTAAATCCCTTTACACGTTGCAGAAGAGACACACCATAATTCACCTCACTAGTATTGAGAAAGAGAAGCGCGCTAACGCAGCCTTCCTTATTGGCTGCTACTGCGTACGTAAAACTTTATTTTGGACCACAAGATAGTCGCAGGAGTTTATTCATTCCTTTCGTTTTTCAGATCCTCTATCATCAAATGCAGCCAGCGGAAGTGGCGGCAAAACTCAAGGAACTATCAACCAGCTACCTCGCTTATAAAAATTTCGCACCCTTTGTCCATGCAGGGTTTGACGCGTGTCGGTACCTCCTGCAACTTGAAGACTGCTTTTCGGCAATTCAAAAGGCGTACAACTGCAAGTTTCTCGACTTTAGTACCTTCAATGTGAAGGACTACCAGTTTTACGAAAAGGTTGAAAATGGAGATCTCAACTGGATCGTGCCCAACAAGTTTATCGCCTTTTGTGATCCACAAACCTACTCAAATTCTAGTTCGTCCAACTCAATTGACTTTTATGTGAGCTACTTCAGGGCGCACAATGTCACCACAATTATTAGGCTGAACAAGAGCTCCTACGATGCGAAGCGATTCACAGAGAAAGGCTTCAAACACCGAGATTTAATCTTCTTGGACGGAAGTGCACCCAGCGACTACCTCATGAATGAATTTCTGAACATTTGTGAATCTACACCTGGTGCAATTGCAGTTCACTGCAAAGGTAACTTGCACATTTTCACAATGCGTACACAACAAATCTGACTCACTGTCACAAATTGTCACTGTTTTCCAGCTGGTTTGGGCCGCACCGGCACTCTGATTGCCTGCTACATCATAAAGCACTATCGCTTCACGGCTCAAGAAGCTACCGCATGGACGAGAATTTGTCGTCCAGGATCGATTATTGGATATCAGCAACGGTGGCTGGAAAGGTATTTGCTCTGTTTACTTTGGGTGCACCACTTTGGATGCAACGCTAACACTCCTTCAATTGTTTGTCTGTGCACACAGAAAGCAAAGTCTGCTGTGGAGCCTAGGCGATCAGCTTTACGGCACTACTACTGGCGAAGTGCCGAATGGAAACATATGTCACGAGGATGGCGTCAATAATAACAATATGGAAATTAGCATTGTGAAATGTCGCATTTCCAGCACTGCAAGCAAAGACTATGCCACTGATTTGGTGAACGCTAACCAAACAACCACCACCACCACCTCCACCACCACCGATAACAGGCTAGACAAGCTCATTGCGGAGATTGACAGTATCAACTTTGACGAAGTCGTCAGCAGCAGTACCAGACAGCAGACTACTCGCTACAACACTGGGCGCACCGGCTCTCATTCGGGCTTCACTCAGGGAGACTATCTCAATGAAATCAAGCTTAATCGAAAGAAGAACCAACAAACAGGTGGTGGCGGGTGTCAGGGAAAGGGTGGCTGCGGCGCCGGTGGCGTCAGCCCCACCCCCACTGCCACCAGCACCACCATAGTGAGCATTAGCAGACCGGTGACACGACACATGGCCGCCGTCACGCCCTCGTCACTGCCTCGCATAATCAAACTGGACCCAAACAAGTATGACTTGGCTAGCATTTCTCTCTTTCTCTGGTAGATACTCATCTCATTCTGTCATCCATTTATAGCAATGTTTCGACCAGTGCCGAGGCAACAAAGACTACTGGCAGTGCTTCAGCAGTGGACAACTTGAAAGTCTACGGAAAGAAGATGTAAGTGGCATGGCACTTGAAGGCACTGGTGTTTAAATGGCGTCTCACTGATGTATATCTGCCTGCAATCTTTTAATCTCACAGGACCAAGTATCCCTCGGTGGTATCGAAGGTGCTGCCGCACTGACGGTTCGGCAACTTGTCATGCAAATATAGGAAGCCTCTGAGCAGCCCGAAGTCTGCAAACTGCACTTCGAAGAGGGCAATTGTCTTTGTCATCGGCAGGACTGGAAAGAAGCCAAATGGCAGCACAAAGCGACTGAATGGCCAGAGGCGACCGGGCGCCAAATGGCGGGGCAATGTGCTAAGGAGGAGGAAGAGCCTTCAGCTGCGCATTGCCCGGCGCGTCAATGTGTTCAGAGTGAGTGAATTATGATGTCATTGACAAATGACTCAATTCACGGCCATGATTAGGCTAATCAGCAGCCAGTCTGTGTTGCCTTTGCGGTGCTGGGCGGCTTAAGGTTATATTTAGACATGACAAGGGTGCCACAATAACTATAACTATAACTACCACTACTACTTACACAACTACTTCAGCTAACATTCACAGCATTAGACAGTCAAATAGCAGCTAATAGGCGCATTGTTCTCGCCCTCTCCCTCACTTGCTCGCTAGTATTACCCATAGTAACGACAGTATTACCCACAGTACCTCACCCCCTCTCTCCCCCTCGAATGGTGATTTATTTACCCGGTGGCTACAAATTTCCGGTGATGAAAAAGATGATGGCATTGGCTACTTACCTCTGGCCCCCATTTCGAAANTATAGTAACGACAGTATTACCCACAGTACCTCACCCCCTCTCTCTCCCTCGAATGGTGATTTATTTACCCGGTGGCTACAAATTTCCGGTGATGANCCTCGAATGGTGATTCATTTACCCGGTGGCTACAAATTTCCGGTGATGAAAAAGATGATGGCATTGGCTACTTACCTCTGGCCCCCATTTCGAAAGACGTCTCATTGTTCACTTGTACATAGCAGTCATCACTGACCATAACATGATTTGTGTATCATCATTATTGACATTATTTCCACTTTGCAATAAACCATCATCATCATCAGCCTCAAAACTCATTAAACTGAATCTTGGTATTTTAATATAGTCAGCGTATTTTAATATAGCGTTATTGCACAGTATACACAACGACAGTTCAGACATAACCAACTATGTACAGTTTCGGTGGCGGAAAAATGACTATTAGGCATTTGGCGATGCTCTTCACCGGGGAAGATAGAGTGAGATGACGGGGGCAGAGGCTGCCCAGAGGCTTTGGCGTCGTCGACGGGACCTTTCACTTCTTCTCCACTACCTCCTGTATCCG